AAACTAAATTGATTATTGGAATTTATTTACAAAAAGAAAACTATTAATGAATTAAAAATTAAATAAACATATTTTTATTTTTATGATTTCTGATTTTTTTTGGTTTTATGAAAATTATTTTTAAGAAATAAAAAGAAATAATTAAGATAACTAAAATAAATGAAAAGAGAAAAATGAGAGAAAGGAAATACAAACAAGGGGGGTATTCAGGCCCTTTTGGAGGTGTATGCAAGAGCAATTTGGCCCAACAGGAGGAGGCCTTTTTTGACTTTCCATGTTCCCATATTTGTGGTTGACTGAACGTGTATGGTAGGTTGCATGTCTTGGCCATTGGATGGAGCCCCAGAGACACTTGGCAAGTCTCAGCACTAGGACATATGGTGTGCTGCATGATGGACGCTGCATAGAAGCACATTAATGAAAAAATTATGGAAATAGTGGGGGACCTGGGAATCGAACCCAGGTCCCAATACCTGTAGGACAACGCATATGCCAGCTGAGCCATTGAGTCTCTTTGTTCATTTAGTGGACCATGATTATTATGAGAGAGAAACAAGTATTATGCTGGACAATAAAAAAACGCGCCAATGTTTGAACTAACCAACCACAATCCAACAGCTCATCTTCTTCTCCCTTGCTTCTTCGTTTTTGCCTGAAACTAATATCAAATAGCGGGGGTTTTAAACCCTCACTAAACTCAAACTGAAAAATAGCGAATAGGTCATATGCAAATATAAAAAGGGCGCGATAGGGGGAATTGATTCGTTTGGACGTCCTGGTTTTAATGGTGTAGGTTTCATGGCCTGATTTTTCCACATATGCAAAGCCCCAAAATTAGAGCTTTGAAACCCTAAGCAGCTTTCATGGTGGATTCGCGTACAGGGCTTAAAAATTCAATTGGATGGTACCAATAGTTTCAGAGAGATCATATTAGTGTAAACCAACAATTAAAAGACATTAATCATGCATGGAATTCAAAATACGATTATGAATAATTTTGAAAGAAAAGTGAATCTGTTCTACCAATTCCTTGAGTATGGGGCTATGTTCTTGATTGTAATCTCTTCCTGGTGGTGTCAGCAAGCTTTTGGAATGCTTCTTAGGCCTTGAAACGCACGGCAGCTGTGAAAACAGTTTTGAGTTTTTTGTCAAAAAATGCAAGTTTTGTTCTATGTTCTGAGCGCAGCTTTTTTGTTCTTGTGCATTAGGTTTTGTTTGTATATGTATGTAGCATGATTAGGTCAAGCAAAACAAGCCCATGATCCATTGTTTTAATGCTTTCAATATTTGATTTTCAAGCATCTTTTTCAATCTTTTTGTCATGAAAAACATGCCTATTTTGGAAGATTTTGCCTCTTGATGTGGTACACGAAATCTCTAGGTCATGATGAGGGAATATGCTGCACAAAAAGATTTGGAAAACATGTTTTGCTATTTTTGTCATATTTAATTTTAATTAAGTGAATTAATAATAATAATAATTCAAATAATTAATCAAAAATGATAAAATAACTCCCTTTATTGTCAATGGGTCGTGCATAGCTTTTGGGTGATGATTCTTGGAAGAAATTGTGGCCCATTAGCAATTTTGAGGCATTTGAAGCAAAGTTGACTTTTCAAAATTCCCAAAAATTTCCCAACTTCCACAAGGTATATCTTGCTCAATGTTTAATATTTGATCATGTTCTTGGACATTTTGGAAAGGTCTTGAAGTCCTCTAACCAATGCACTTGGTCCCATGTCATTTTGATTTACCAATCTCAAGTTATGGTCTTTGACTTAAAGTGCCTTTTTGTTGACTTTTGAAAATGACCTATAATGTTGAGATTGATAACTTTTTGTGAGAGCATTTCTTGGACTTGAAGTGTGAAGATAAGTTGTAGGAAATGTCATTCTCTTCAAAATGAGCTTTGGATGGAATTTTTCTAATAAACCATGTGGAAGTTATGCCTTGGTCAATTTGCAGTTGACTTTTTCAACTATCCAAAAATAGAAACTTTTGCATCTTGAGACTTTTTTGAGCCATGCCTTGAGAATCATGATCAAGAATTGATCAAATTATGTTTGTGGCTTCAAAATAAGATGTTGACCAAAAATTTTGACTTTTGACTGCCAAATGACCATTTTGCCCCTGCAGTTGACTGTTGAGCAATTAGGGTTTTTGACTGTGCAATTTTGTGTTGTGAGTCTTGAAACTTAGCATATGGATGCTTGACAATGTATATAGGCATGTGGGACTTGATTGGACCTTTGGAAACTTTAATTTCTTTGCCAGAACCAAAACCCTAATTTTTGACTGTTAGGAGGCCATTGGACTGTGCAACCTTTGGGAGATTTTGAAGCATGCTCTTAGCAAATCTTGAAGAAAATGGGAGGGAAAATTTTGGGGTACAACAGTCACCATCTGAGCATAAGTAACCATCTGAACATAGTCACCAACTATACCTGTGATAAAAATTCCCCCCACTCACGGGTGAAGACTAGGTCAGGGTAAGGCAATGGTAACTCAGAATCGAGGGTACTCCTGAAAAACTATCGCCGTATCACCTACGTGAAAACGATAGCCCCTCATTTGTATCTCATCTGAGCGTGGACGACATGGCGGCAGTAGTGAGACCTAAGTCAACTAGCCGTTCATGTTCCACTCTATTCCTAGGGTTCCTATGGTATACAACTCTGGCCTGGGTATTGGGCCTTTTACCTCATAGTAACACCCACCCAATAAGAAGCAGATCCAGTACAACAGTAGTATATGGAAGACAATAAAATGCAATGCATACATATGCTTAAGTATATACAAAATGAGTTAAAAAACTGAAAGCATAAAAATAAACACCCAAAGAAAAGAAAGCAAGAGCTAGGAGCGACTCCGGGATGGACCAACATTTGGTCGACCATTCCCCAGTGAAGTCACCAGCTGAAACAACCGGCTGAAAATCATCAAACAATGAAGTCGCCATCGAACATCTTTTATCCCACATGGAGGGAAAGGTAAACATCGAGAAAACCTGAGAAGGGAGAAGTCACGGCCTTGCGGCCGAGAGATCGTGTAAGGGAGCCTGTTACGCGAGGGGAAGGTATTAGCACCCCACACGCCCGTAGTACTCTATGGTATCCACTCTTGTTGTCTATATTATGGGTGTGTTTAATCTATGCTTACTGTTTATTATACTACTGAAGGGAGAATGCATGCAAAAGAAAGGATAAAAGAATGTAGGGAAACTAAAATTGTGCTCGCTTGGGCCCTACCCCAATTCCTATGTATCCCTTTTTGAGGAATCAGAGCTACCGTAGTTTGGCTCACATGTTTTTATTTGTTTGTGTTTTTTATGGACAATGTTAATCCCGCCTTCTTCCGCAGCTCGACCTTTGGAGACTTATGCGTTGGCACATAATTAAATTAATCATGTCCTTACCTGAAAAGGGTTTTAGAGAAAAGGTGCTCGAGCGCATAAAATGGTTTGAATTGGTTTGTGTTTTATTACCTTGAAAAAAGAGTTTAGGTATGATTAGCATGTTTTTGATTTGCTAAGAAAAGAAGTTTTAGTTTTAGATGCAAGGATGCAAAAAGGGGAAGAAAAGAGTATAAGGGAGACTAGCCTATTTCTAACCTAATGCTATCATACAACGGTAGTCCTAAGGTTTGGATTAACAAAAGCGAAACGTCTACCTAATGTTAGCATGCATGGTTTATAACCTAAGGTCTAACTCGCATCCGAATGAAGCAAGCGCATCCTAAGGGAACGTGGTATGTACAAGGATAAACAAACAAGCCAATAAGTTCAAGAGAGCACACCTAGGGAGATTCTATCTAGGTCAACATGCCAAAGAAAGTCTAACAAAACTATCCTATAGAGAACATGCAATGAGAGCAAAGTCGTGATCTCAATTTCTAAATTGAGTGACTCATCGATCAACAAGAAATAATAGAAAGCGATAAAATCCTATAGGGAGCATGCACTGAGAGCGAAGTCGTGATCTAAATTTCTAAATTGAGTGACTCATCGATAAACAATCACAGAAACAAGCGCAAGCACAACACACATAGCAAATGAAGTGCGGAATGCCTGCTACAGGTCTTTAAACAACAACTTCGAGCGCACGCTCCTTATTTCCTACTTCTTATGGTATCTATAAAAGCAGTAAGTAAGCATAATAAAGTGCGAAGAAATACGAAGGTAGTAGCGGCGACTACCAAAGCGAGCAAGTCGTCAAGAGCAGACGAAAGTACTGGAGAAACAGGGAGTACGCGTCGAGCAAGCTTCACCAAGAAACAAACAGAGTCAGAAACAATATCCAGCTAAGATAAAGGCAAACGCGTGTTGCAAATGCGGTGCGTAATCAGAAGTTCCTGTGCAAAGTATCACAAAATATCACATGTATCAAGACAACATATAATATGATATGAATTTCTCAGGACGATGAGAAATAAGGTGTGTCGCATCGTAAGCAAGTATAAGCCGCATGCTTCGATCACATAACTACCTGTTATATTACATGATTGAAAGCACAAAAATGTACCTTGCACAGTGAACAAACGCGTCAACAATAACATGGAGAAGCGGCATGCAAATATGGATAAAACTAAAAAGAGAAAAAGTATTTTTTATTTATTAGTTTTTTTTAGAAACCAAAAAGAAAAGTATTTTTATTTATTAGTTTTTTATGTAAGGGAAACTCCAAAAAACTAAAGAATTAATTCTTAGAAATCTCTATGCCTTTATATATTTTTTATTGTTTTATATAAAAGCCCACCAAAAAATTAGGAAATTAGCTCTAAAAAAGGACTACAAACTAGCAAATTTATTGATTCGATTTATCACCTCCTAAAACTCGTTAACTCGATTTAACAAGAATTGATAGAAGAAAATTAGAAAAAATAATCTAAAAATTATGAACAAGGGGTGGAGAACTGAAGTCTGGTGGTATGATGGAGCAGGGCTCTGGGGCCCATCAAACATAGTCCAAGATTTTTTTTTTGTTATCACACTGAAAATGTAATGGACTTAAGGCAGAAATCGAGCTCAGGCACAACACATATAATGCCAAAATATCTTTTTGCTACCAGCATGGGCTTCAAAAAGAAAAACAAATGGGCCCAAGGGGAAGGTGCGGTTCGGTCCCCCACCATAGGTAATTGAGAGGAGAACTAGGGTTTGAAACATTATTCCTCTCTTAAGACCACATAACAATGTCATCCTCTCCCTTTGTCTTATCTCCATCCTCACGCGGCGGCGTCTCGCCATTCCCTATCGCCGAAACTTCGTCCCAACTCCCTTCCTTCTCTTCGTCTCATCTCCAATCTCTCTCATTCTTCCTTGCTCAATTCAACTTCTAGTCGCATAACCACCATCGGACGGCGGCCAAGTTTCCTTATTTCATGAATTTCTAAACACCAAACTCAGTTGAAATCACTTCTTGAATCTGAATCTTAATCAATTCTTTTTAGTTTCGAGTCATAGATCTTACATCTAACACCATCTGAAACCCTAGTTTCCTAAACTTGAAATCAAAGGGGATCAATAGAGGATTGAGGTTCGAGAAGTTAGGGGTATCGCTCTATATATCTCATTTTGCAAACTCGCAGCAAGAAAAAGATGAAAAGACGAAGGAAGAAGAGAGATCGTGTTTAACTAACGGGGTATGTCAGGTGCATTTTAGTCAGCAGCGACGCGAAAAATAGAGAAACCAGAAGCAAATGATTCTGGTAAGTTCTTCTATCCTTCGAAATCCGTTTGTTCTTCAGCTCTACTTCTTCTACCTTCTTCCTTTTTTTTCTTTTTCTGTGAGATCTGGTGTGTATTGCGATGTCGCTGTTGTCGAGAAATTGCAAACTGAGAGATAAACTCAGATCTGAGCGTTCTTAAAGGTTGGTGAAAGTGTGTTGCAGAGAATTGAGAGGAGTTGAAGGTTGTTACAGAAGTGAGAGGTTGAAGGTGGAAGTTAATATTGAAGCAAGGTTCGGAGAGATGAAGGTGTGGGGATGGTGATAATGATGGATAGAATTCAGAGAAGATGGAGGTTGAAGGATTTTTATGAAGAGGATGAAGGTGAAATAAGTATGAAGATAAGAGTGATATGAATGAAATGATGCCTAGAAGATGAAGAATTCTGAGGATTTTGGTGAATGAATGATGGTTGTCATCAGAGAATGAAAATAGAATTTATAGGGAACTATTTGGTAGGAATCTGAATTTAGTTAGAGGGCCAATGATCCCTAGCCTTAGGGTCTGGATTTTTGGTTATTGATTCATAATGAGATTAAGGTTAGTTGCAAGTTGTTAGAAGTTAGTTAGAACAGTTAGGATGAGCGGGAATTCTGTTAGAAGATAGGAAGTTATGGTTAGCAAAAATTATGTTTGGTTTTCTGTTATTTCTGCTGGGAAATTTGTTATATGTTGGAGATTGATTGGAATTCTGTTAAGAGATGGTGAATGGTGAGTTAATTGAAGTTTTGCTGGACTGTTTTGAGAGGATAGGAATTCTATTTTTGGCAGTTAGAGTAGTTGGGATATGGTTACAACGATGTGGATAATTGGTTGGGGTTTAGTCAGAATTATGTTTTTTTTTGTTATTTCTGTTGGATGCAGTTAGGGACAGTTAGAGGTTGTTAAATGGTCAGTTAGAGTTGTCAGTTTACTGTTAGACAATGGTTATATTTTGTTTGGATATGTTATAGTTTTGTTTCAGAAGCAGTTGGTGAGGAAAACAGTTAGGAAGTTAAAAGTTCTGTTATGCAGGGTGGTTTAGGAATGAGCTGAGTTAACTGTTTTTCTGTTATGCGGTTTTCTCTATTCACTTTCTCCTTACTTTTCCATTGGATAATTTTTGTTCTCACAGTTTGCACATTTTTCTGATATATTTACTCCCATCTCCTGAACTGGACTGTCGTTAGCTTGCTATTTTTTTTCTGTCTTGATACAGCATCACATGGCAGCACAAGGTTGTCTGAACTCAAGGCAAATTATTGTATGTTCCAAGCTCGCCAAATATTCGTATATGGAATTGATGGACTGACATTGCAGGTCCTGGAAATAGGTCTCTGTGGCTGATACATTGATGATTGATCAGATTCGGTATTGTAAGTTTTGTTGGATTGAAAAATACTTGTTTTTTTTTTTGTTTTGAAATTGCACATTGTTGTTGCTTGAATAGGCATGTTTATTTGATGGGTTCTAATTTTGAATTTTGTAGGTTGAAACATGGCTTGGAGCTGAAGAAGTAGCTTTTAATATGGAATCAAGCATAAATGAAGACTTTTAGTGGTTATGTTTTGACCATAATTGGAACTATTTTTTTTTAATTGTATTTGGACAGATTTTCTGAGTTGTTTTGTTTTTTTTTTTGGACAGGTTTGGTGTAACTGGAATAAGTCATTGGTCTGATGCATTGCAAGTTGGATTGATTTGGGTTTGAAAAATAGACGAGGTTTGTAGTCTTGGGCATAATATGAGACTTTACAAGCTAAAGCATGAAATAAAGTCAATATTGAGGATGAAGATTAGGAGATTAGGACTTTGTTTTTATTGTAATCTCCTTTGTAAATGGTTAACGATGTAATGTACTTGGGACTTTGTCTTGAAAGTTGGATGGATTTGAGCAAAATTGATGTCTACTTTGCATTTGAACTCTAGGTTTCTCTTAATTTTGCAATGATTCAAAGAATGACCATATAATCCTAGAAACTCCAAGAAAGAATATGAATATTCAAAGAGACCTTCTCTCTCAAATTGAGCTTGAAATTCTCACCTTCCTTTGGTTTAGTATTAACGGCCATGGCTATAGTCTGAATAAACCTCAAGTGGCCGTGTAAAAGAGTAAAATTGTAACGAACACGTAATGATTTTTTGTGAATTTAAGTGAAGCCTTCTTCAAAACATCTTCTAAATTTCTCCAAATCTTCTTTAATAACTTGCACCTCAAGTAATGATAGAGGTCTTATTGAAATTCAATGATGGGCACAACCCCGTAAGAAAGCTTCTTAACTAACACCTGATTAGGGAAATAAACCCCAATCCAAACGGTGATGAAAACACCAAAAGAACCTTAATATCCTAGCCCATGGTCACTTGGATGAAACCTTGTAGGAGGAACTTAGCCTTGTAGCCATATCATGTAATGAACGAAACCAAAGTGTTGAGAAGAAGTCCCTATAGGATGTATTGCCAAAGCTTTGGAGATTCGCTGATGACCATGAGCACAAGGGATAAACCCTAATTCATCATCCTTGCACTTTAAATTGAGATAAACCTACAAAGGACAGAGAAATCCTAATGCACAAGTGAAACCTTATTCTTCTCGACCTTTGATCCCATATGACAAGCCTTGTTGTTAGTGAATGCATGTTGTGTTAAATGACCTACTGGAGAGGATATGTACATGAAGAGGAAGTGCAAGATGCATAAGCCAGATGAAATCAAAAAGGGTAGGACAAATTTGGGGGTATTATAGTATGATGCGCTTGATCACCAAATCCCCGACTTGATATACTTGGCATCTGACCTTTTTGTTGGAAGCCTTGGTCATCCATTTTTTATACATTTGACCATGACAGACAGTAGTAAGCCTTTTCTCATCAATCAAGTTTAGTTGATCAAGTCGAGTCTGGATCCAATCATCTTCATTCAGCCCTGTATCCTTCATAATTCTTAGAGAGGGGATTTGGACCTCAATAGGCAAGACAACCTCCATACAGTATACCAGAGAGTAGGGTGTTGCCCCGGTTGATGTGCGCGTCGTGGTACGATACCTGTGGAGAGTGAATGGTAGCATCTCATGCCAGTCTTTGTATGTGACTGTCATTTTCTGTATGATCTTTTTGATGTTGTTATTTACGGTTTCATCAACACAATTCATCTTTGACCGGTAAGGGGAAGAATTGTGATGTTGGGTCTTGAATTGCTCACACAGGGCGGTGATCATAGTATTGTTTATATTCGTACCATTTTCTGTGATGATCCTCTTCAGGATACCATACCGACATATGAGATTTTGTTTAATGAACCGGGCTACAACATTCTTGGTAACGGAAGCGAAAGAGGCTTCCTCAACCCACTTTGTAAAATAGTCAATGGCCACCAAGATGAAGCGGTGTCCATTAGAGGTTGTTGGTTTGATTTCCCCAATCATATCGATGCCCCACATAGTAAAGGGCCAAGGAGCCGTCAAGACATTCAGAGGAACTGGAGGTACGTGCACCTTGTCAGCATAAATCTGACACATGTGTCAAGTTCGAGAATGTTGATAGCAATCTGCTTCCATGGTAGACCAATAATAGCCTGCTCGTAGGATCTTCTTTGCCATCGTATACCCACTGGAATGGGTGCCAAAAGTGCTCTCATGTAACTCAGCCATGATCTTTTCTACCTCAACCTTATCGACGCACCGACGTAACACAGAGTCATGGTTGAATTTGTAGAGAATGCCATTACTGAGGAAGAATTTAGTAGAGAATCTCCTTAAGAACTTCTTATCATTGATTGAAGCTCCTTTCATATATTCTCTAGCCGCGAGATACCTCTTGACCTCGTGAAACCAAGGTTGGTCCACTACTTCTTTAGTATTAATCTCGTGACAGTGAGTTGGTTCATCCATTCGTTCAATGGTGATCTGGGGAGCCTCGTTATCCCATTTAAGTTTAAACATAGATGACATTATGGCTAGTGCATCTGCTAGCTGATTTTCTTCTCGCGGGAAATGCTCGAAGGTAATCTTTTCAAAATGTGGGAGCAGTGTCAACACATGTTCTTTATAAGGGATAAGGTTAGGGTGTTTGGTGTCCCATTCTCCTTTGATCTGGATGATGACTAAAGTTGAATCTCCGAATACATTTAAGGATTTGATTCCCAAATTTATGGCAGCTTTGAGACCAAAAATGCACGCTTCATATTCCCCCATGTTTTTTGTACAATTGAAGCAGAGTCTTGCAGTAAAGGGAGTATGACACCCTTCGGGAGATATAAGAACAACACCTATACCATTGACGAGTGCGTTAGATGCCCCACCAAAAACCAGGGTCCATCGGGATCCTTGTTCAAGTCCGTCATATGGTCTGAATTCTTCACAGTTATTCACCATCATGATGTCTTCATCTAGGAATTCAAACTTCATGGATTGGTAGTCCTTCACAGCTTGGTGAACAAGGTGATCATCTAGTACACTGCCCTTTATTGCATTTTGGGTGGTATACTGTATATCATATTCTGTTAGGATCATCTGCCATCTCTCTATTCTCTCGGAGAGAGCAGGTTTCTCGAAGATGTGTTTTATTGGATCCATTTTAGATATCAACAAGGTAGTATGAGTCAACATATACTGTCTTAGCCAGCGAGCAGCCCATGCCAGAGCGCAACAAGTTTTCTCGAGCAGTGAATATCTGGTTTCAAAGTCGGTAAACTTTTTGCTCAGGTAATAAATAGCATGCTCTTTTTGGCCAGACTCGACATGCTGCCCCAACACACACCCCATTGAATTTTCCAAAACAGTTAGATACATGATCAATGGTCTCCCCTCGACTGGTGGCATCAAAATTAGAGGATCTTGTAAGTACTCTTTGATCTTGTCGAAAGCAGTTTGGCATTCATCTTCCAATTTGACTACTTGATCTTTCTTCAGTAATTTAAAGATTGGTTCACAAGTAGCTGTCAGGTGAGAAATGAATCTGGCAATATAGTTCAAACGTCCCAAGAATCCTCTAACTTCCTTCTCAGTACGAGGAGCAGGCATCTCTTGTATCGCTCTCACCTTGGCGGGATCCACTTTGATACCTTTATTGCTGACGACAAAGCCTAGGAGTTTACCAGACCTCACCCTAAGTGTGCATTTATTCGGGTTCAACCTCAACTTGTATTTCTTTAGCCTCTCAAATAGTTTCTGTAAATGATCGAGATGCTCTTCTTCTGTTTGAGATCTAGCTATCATGTCGTCCAAATAGACCTCTATTACATGATGTATCATGTCGTGAAATAAGGCTACCATGGCACGCTGATAGGTTGCCCCAGCATTCTTTAGCCCGAACGTCATAACCTTGTAGCAGAATGTGCCTCATTGTGTGACAAAGGTTGTTTTCTCCATGTCCCCATGTGCCATTTTGATTTGGTTGTAACCTGAGAAATCGTCCATGAAGGAAAACACTTTGTGTTGTGCCGTATTGTCAACTAGAATATCAATATGGAGAAGTGGGAAATCATCCTTAGGGCTTGCCCTATTCAAATCTCTGTAGTCCATGCACATTCGTACCTTTCCGTCCTTTTTAGGCACGGGAACAACATTGGACACCGATTGCAGATAGGAGGTGACGACCAAGAATCCGGTGTTGAATTGCTTCATGACCTCATCTTTAATCTTCTCTAACATATCTGGTCGCATACGATGGACCTTTTGTTTTATCAGCGGGCAGTCCTCTTTTGTAGGTAGACGATGTACTAAGATATCTGCATCAAGTCCTGGCATGTCTTTGTACGATAAGGCAAAGACCTTAACATAATCGTGGAGCAACTGAATCAGACGCTCTTTGACACTGGGTTCCAAATTGGCACCCACCTTGACTTCTCTTTTGTCTTCTTCGGTACCTAGTTTAATTGTATCCACTAGCTCTTCGTGGGGCTGAATGGTCCTCTCTTCTTGTTGTAGTAACCTGGCGAGTTCCCCTAGTACTTCATAATCTTCCTCACCTTCGTCTTTGGCTTGGTAGATTAGATTTTCAGAATCACAGAAGGCCATAGCATAATCGTTACCCATGGGATCCCGAATGGATGTAGACATGCATTGTGAGTGTGAGTGTGTGTAAGAGTATAGCTACATTTGAAAGAAATGAAAATGTAAAAAGAAAAAACAATGAGCAAAAAGTTTGTATACAAAAACGTCCATGATTCATTAATGTCATATGGAAATGAGATGATAACCCTTACAAATGGACCATTGTACCTCAGGTAAGACACAAGGTTTTAAGAGTCTGAATTGTTTTAATATTACAGATCTGACAAAATTTAAAGACAAATTACTGTGGGATAAAAGTAATCGGGACAAAATCTCTAGCGTCCCAGTTGCTGAGCCCTCCACTGACAGTTGGGAAAATCCAATCCTCCAGGTTATAATTGTCTTCATCATCCTCCACGGTGCTGACTTGGTGGTTGCTGATCTTCAAGGGTGGTCCTCCGGCACGAACGCGGCGTACAGCCTTCTGGGAACCTGAAGTGAAACCCATACCGAATTTGTCATATTTGTATGGGATATCTGTGAGTTGTCCCCAAATAGTGCACCCA